TTACTAACAAAAAAATTTACATTTCAACAAATTGACACTTTCCAATCAAAAAAAAAAAAAAAAAGCTGAAAACTCCAATTTGTGTGTGTGTGTGTGTGTATGCAGCTGTTGTTCTCTGGCTCCTTGTTTTCACATTGCGGAGGAACTGGAAGGCAATGAAGTTCCTTGACTTGATACGAACTCCAAACTTTTTAACTTCCAGCACTTTCCAACACATTTATTTCACTGGAAATAGTTACGGTTCTAGGACATACCTTAAGCCAAATAAACTGCTTGCGAGAGTAAGACCGTGGTAGTGAGGAGAGGAGCCTGATCTATTCCACATGCTCTGCACAGTGGGATTTCTAAGGGCTCGTCCAGAAGGCAGCGACTGWAGTGCAGTGAATCTAGCTTTAAACTAGTTTGGCTGGGTAGAACTAACAGTGAAAGCATTGTAGGCTGTAAAACTCACTTGAGAAACCGAACTAGCTCTTGGAAACCTATTTTACATTTTGAGCTCCTGCATCCACATGGGGTAAATAAGGGGCTGTGGATACGTCAAGAGCAGTGGCCGCCACGGGCATATTGGCATCCTCCAACTGAGAAAATGTTTCCTGGTCTCTGTTTCCCCTACACTGGCGTGTGGCCCTCAGCCCTCCACCAGSCCTGCATGGTCTCCAGCTAGCAGCCGCCTCAACTGCTCCTGTTCTCGCTTTTCTCAAGCATTATCTGCCACTTCAAATATCTGCTGAACAGAAATCCTGCTATATCTTGTTCTCTTTTCATTTCTCTTGCCTGAAACTTAGATAAATGAATTAGCCTGGAAGCAACACCTTGGAAACCTACCAAGAAKCAAAGTAATGTTGAAGGACAAGGAAATTGTTTTAAGAGTCCCTGGAACTCTGGTAGATATTGGATCAAGTATAGCAAAAATATCAAAACCAGAAAAAAAAGGAGGCAAGGGAGGAATCTGTGGAAGGTCATGAAGAGAGGGAGGTGCAAGAGCTATATCTGACTTAGATTCCGTAATCTCATGTCTGGAATCCAAACCTTATCATGTGAGCCTAATCGCGTCTGAAACACAGCTCTGCTGACTTGGAGCTTACAATAATTCCTTTACAAAATATTTCACATGTCCACCAAGTTTAAAAAAARAAAAAAGAACGGATTTTTGCTTGTCCTTTACATGATGAGATGCAAAGTATTGTTGGTTCGATGAAAAACAGAGATAGTTTCTTCATGAAACTGTTAAGAAGTGACTGCTAAGAGGTGATTTGGAGAGTCAGAGAAACACCGCTGGAGTGGCATACGCTGCTGTAGAAAAACAGCACGGAAGGAACCGTGTTGCATCCCGGCACGTGCCCGTGTAGACGCTCCATAAACCCAGCCCTGGCTTCTTGGGCAATCTTTGCCCAACATGGCAAGGGTTGTCTGTGCCACAMGCTGCTGCACTTCAGCTCTCCAGCCTGAAGTGGACATTCCAGAAAAGCCTCATAAATCTAGTAAAACATTCAGACTATGAATTGCCTCTCTCTAGCCCCATTTTGTCTTGCTGACTTGTTTCATGCTTTGCAGTAAAACACTTAGTGATAAGGAGCACTGGGGCGCATCTGGCGGGATTCAGTCGCATGCGTCACACCCCTGACCTTCTGATGGATTTCTGCAGTTTGGCTTTGCTAAAACTTTGCAGCCCTGTTTTTAACATATATTTCTTTGCCTGATGGAAAATCCCTGCTGGCTATAACACTCCTTGTGCCTACAGCTTTTCCATCCTTAGTATGTCTTCATTTAGCTTTTTCATCTGCAGTAATGATCACAGATTTGATCAGGACTGATGCTCTGTAGACAACAGGCAATGGAATACAGATCGGGTAATCTGATAGGGTTTCTTTTATGGGCAGGTAGGTTATTTAAGCCTTGATTTTTTTCTTTCATTCATTAAAGTATTATGTCCCAAAATGACAGGAATTCCTCATTTCTACAGAGAAACCCAATTCGACCCTGCTATTGCATATCGAAATTAAAGAGGCAACAGGGGTTTGTATTTATTGCATGTCTGACAGCTTTTTATTGGTGTTTCTCAATAAGTGCATAAGTCAATTATGTCAGTAAGTTTCTAAGTAATATCTTTTTTCTCCTGGAATGGTTTCAGATTGTGGGAAAAAAAATGTGAAGATGTGTGCTTATGTAAGCTTTTCCTTTAGAAACATTTTAGTTACATTTTTGTAATAATTACTATGCAGAATCATGACACTTCTTTGCTGCAAGATTTTTTTTTTTTTTTTTAACTCCAGCAAATACATTTTTACTTATTTTTGCTTTGGCAAATAGAAAGTCTGAAAAGATGAGGGTGAAGAAAATGCAACAGCATTTTGGAGGCAAAGGTTTTGGGTGGCTATTTTATGTCTCTCTGGTGTCAAAGCTTAATGCTCTGTGATGAACTCTTAYTACCRCCATATCAAAAKATCATAATGTGAGTCAATGTCTAAWATTCAGAAGAAATGGAAATGCATATTTATAGCAACTTGTGTCAATGTGCAAAATGATTTTGTGCTCTGTGATAATGCAAGATGTGCAATAGCAGGCTGGATACACACCTTATCTTTGAATAATATATTTCAATCTTGCTTATTTTGTTTACACACGTTCTAAAGAATCTTAATAAGTCAATAACAGTGCTGTCAACAGCTAACACTGAAATCTCAGGAGATGAGATATCCTTACAAAGCTAGGCGTAAAGAAAGTAAGCTGAAGCGCAATTTTATATTTGCATCTTGTTTTGGAATAATAAAAGCTTCTACTTTTCCCAGTTTTCTATATGGCATTCAGATTTTTGTCTGATGAAGCTATATTGCTTTCATGTTTTACAGGAAAAAAAAAAAAAAAATCCCGTGTTGGAAACTCCTGTGCAACCTTAGGATTTGGCAACAAATGGAATATGGAATGCTGGTTGTGATTCTGAGCATCAGATTGAGTGCTTCATTTTCTGTTGCCACTGATAAAGGTAAAGATGGCATTGAAGGAAAATGTATTTTGGCATTTATTTTACAAATGTTCTTAGTGGATAATTGTGATGGAAAAACGTAGTGTCGTTCGCWTTTTTTTCATACAGCTTTTGAGGGATATATACTGGCATTTTTTCAAGGCAGTGCTTTTCTGCTGTAAGAGCTGAATAGCAGGGCAGGACAGCTATTCAGAAAGAGCCCTTTCTGGTCTATTTTTAGCTCTATCAAATCTTGAGCAATAATCCAGAATGATAATCTTATAGAACATTTTCGGCAAAATTTTGTTGGCAAATATTCTTGATAAAGATGTTCCCTTCCTTCCTTCCTTCCTTCCTTCCTTCCCTTCCAGCTCCTGGAGGAAAAAGAAAACAACAACAACAAAAAAATTATTTTAGCATTTTTAGCTGCTTGTTAATTGATGGTTGGTGAATGCTGCTGCAGACTGTAAATTGGAAACCAGAATTCACATTGCAGCATTTTACATTAAATACTTCCTTGAAATATTTTTGAGGGCCGTTGTTAGGATGTAAAATGATCCYAAATGCCACATTCCTCCTCGCATAATGTACACAGGACCAAAGTTTGTTGCATTGGTTTTAGGTGGATAGTCAGCACTTTAAAGCTCTTTTTTTCACATCAGAAGCAGGTAGAGCACTAGAGCATGTGGAAATCTTTTCAAAGAAGGATGCCRTTCTGTTGAGTGGTTTGTCTAAATTACAGAGGAAATTCTGCCTTCCAGAGAGGGATATAGTTATATTTCAGAAATGTTAGGCTATGTTCTTTCCTCTTTCCCCTCCAACAATAATGATTTTATATTGATAATTTTCTGCTTGAGGTAAACAAGAGACTCTTTGCTGAAATATTTTGAAAAGATGTTTGGGTCTTGGTAAGCCCTGTAATTTTAGCAAGATAAGAAACCATTATATTTATTAACCCCCTAGTACTCAAGGACAAAAAGCAGTTGTGCAGCCAAGGGGCTTTTCTACAGATTCTGTATGCCCTGTGTTATCATGGCATATGTGATATATGTAAGAATCAGGTTATGGTGCCAAAACAGGAACAGTTGTAAAACAATAGGGAATTAAATGTAGCATGTGTCCATTTGACTGGTAACACCTTCTCTAACGTAAATGGTAACTTAATAGAAAATATCTAGTATATATTAAGCAGCATCAAATGATGAAGTGGTACTTGKCTTTTACTACATCTGTTTGAAAGGATGTACATGTTGTGCTATCACGCTAAAAGCAACCGGGTTAACAATCCGGAAAGACAGATTGTGGGCCCTGTGACTTAATTTAGATTTTAGCATATTTGTGTGTATTGTTAAACTAGGCCTAAAACAGGTCAGAACTTGAGACTGAAGTATGTATTTTTGATCAGTAAGGACAAACTCCATTCTTAGATGGAGTAGTTCCAGAGGCTTTAAGAGGGATGAGTAAAAATGTGGAGGTGGAAAGGTCTTTGTCTCTTTCCTTTACATGAAAAATCCATGAGAAGGAAAAGAGGTACGTACTGCAATAAGTCCCCACAAAAGGATATATGACAGAAAAATTTTGCTTCACTTTAGAAAATGTTTGCATTCACAAAAGTTTCTATGACAGGAAAACTATGCTTTCACTTCAATGTGCTTTCCCAGCAGAGCAGCAGCTCTCTGTTAATATGTGAATGCTTAAGAAGAAAGGAAAGGATGAGTGTTTAAACCAAAATGTAGAGAGGTAAATTCCCTAAACACTTTCTGTGTTATTAACATTCCCCAAGATTATGTTTCATCATCCAAAGGGCACGGGTGCATAAGCATCAACCAGTGCCCTGCCTGCGGTGGTGGAGAAGGCTCCCTTCTGACTGCACCAGCTCCTGCAGCATCATGAAGTGTCCCGCTCATTCTGCTAATTAGTGTCAACACTAATGGAGAAGCTGCATTTGGAAGCGGGAGCTGTGCTGAGTCACGCTGCTTTCACAGCACTCACGTGAGCAGGATGTAGGAGTGTGGTGTGTGGAGTGAGTAGGCTCTGCATGTCCCCAGCACATCCTTGGCAAAACTGGCCTAGTTCAARGCAAACTAGAATTTGAAGTAGCCTGTAAACAGTACTTCATACTTACAATCTGCAAAATGTACTATCTACTGCTATGCTGCGGTTGCTCAAGATACGTTTAATCCTTAATTTATCAGAGGTTTTCAAATCATTGAATTGCTTCATGGTAGTAGAGAACAGAGGGGATCCATTAAAGCAGAAGCTTCAATTTATGAAAATTAATTCTCTAAATTCTTTAATTTATGAAAATCTTCTCTCTAAAGCATCTCTGTTTGAATAAGTGATTAAGTAATTCCCACTCAATGGGGAAAAAGGAGAGCCGAGAGGGAAAGATGGGCACAGCATATATATACATATATATGGCATTTCTGCAGTGAAGATGGTGGGGCTGTGTAAGAAATATCCGCCTGTGTCAATGAACCCATCGTTCCTCCTCCAGGTTCATGCTAGGGTGAGATGCGGAATGAAAGGCAACGTGTCCTGAACCATCCTGCAGCACTGCAGGCTACTGAGGAACCAAGGCTATGGAACAAGCTCTGCTTCAGTAAACACTGCAGGCAAGGTGAGGTAAGTTGTTTTACAAGGAAATTACATGAAATTCTAGTCTAATCAGTGCAGAAATTGTTCATGAAAGTACTCTCAGTGCTAAGGACTATAGATATCTGTGTCAAAACCAAAATTGCTTGCATTACAGAGAGGGAAGCATGACCCAACTGTTAATAGTGTGGAGAGACTAGAAAATTGGAAAACTAGGCCACTGTGCTCAAGGTGTGAAAATAACATAGCTATAAATACTGTCCAGTGCCCATAAAGTGAACCTAGCTACTTTCTTGTCACCTTGCTAATTGCTTTTGAGGAGCCTGGATATTGCAGCTGTCGCAGAAAGTAAATATATGCTTGTTAGTGAGAACTAACCTTAATTCTCTTAACAGGAAAGAAAATAAATCTTACTGTGTTTGCTGTGCATTTCATATGGTAAATTTTATCTTGTATCAACAGATAACTACTCTCAGACTATATATTTATCAAGATGCTTTTGCAGGTCATTAATTCCATAGAGTCAGCAGTTAAAATGCGCTTTTAATTTTCACGTCTCTGCAGTGTTGTCTTCTTGTCCTATTCCGGGTGAAAGGAGCTTATAAAATAGTTAATTGTAAGTTGTCTTGTCTGAGAAGTGCCAGTCTTACCTTTTTAGATAGATTTTCAGGCATGTCTTTCTTACTAGAGCCCTAAAGCTTTGTTAACTTCACATTTTAACATAAAAGTCTTCATGCCAAAAGGATTAAGAACTGCTCTCAGACAAAGCAAAACAAGTTAATCTCACACTTGCAAGGCTGTGATGCCTTTTTGGGATCTGCCTGATGGCTGCCAGCTGCTTCTGCCAGCTGCCCTATTTAACAGCACAGCCTCAGCAAGCCAGGTGAATGGCAGGGTCACCCAGCTGCCCTCTTCATTAAGAGGGGCTACCTCCTCCTGGACAGCAGGTAAGAATTGCACTTGCTCTGCCCCCAGGAGCTTCTTAATTGAATACAAGTGACATTCAGCATTTGTGCTGTGATAAGTTTTGTGAAAAGATGGGCCAGAATGTGAGTAAAAGCTTGGGGATACTTGTTTGGCCCCATGTCTGTCCTCGTTTCCTGTTTAACCTACGTATTAATTTTAATTAATGTAGACTTATTACAGCATGTGATTTGGTGAAAAGTAGTACTTGGTGGCAGTGGGTTTTGCTTCTCTCCTAGTCTCACATTTCAATAGTGTATAAACTTGCTAAACCTTCCTTAAAAAGCCTTTTGAAGGACTACCATTACAAGTTGTACTAAATTGAAGAAAATTTTAATTAAAAATAATTACTGAAATTGCAAAAACATAATATATAAAATATTTTTTTTTGAACAGACCCTTTTTGTTCAAACATAAAATGTGTAACTGTCTGCATCTTTATTTTCTCATAAACTTTGTTCATAAAATTTGCTCCAAGGGTAAGAACATGTTAAGCACTTTCCCAGGGCCTCTCTGTTTTGGAATGAAATTGAATTGACCAGATTCCCTGCCTGCTTGCTCATCTCTCACTCCCCACACTCTGTCAATTTATTGAAATAAGTACTTGTCTGTTCCTGCTGAAATTATATCTACTTTCATGTAAAGATTAAGTTAAGATGATAAGAATTAGTCTTCTGTAAGTAATGGCTAAGTTTGATTACACTGTTTCTTACAAAATAATTTCTTTACATCTGTTAAATTTGTACCTCGATGTTCAATTGAATTATGATGCCTTTGCTTAGTTGCAGTTGTTCCTCTGCTTTTCCAGCTGCCGTGTTAGAAATGTCTCTGGTTTGGGACTGGAGTCTTGCAGGCTTAAGTGGATTCTTCTTCAGAGAACTAAGAGTGTATGTGATGGAGCATTACATGACCAGCTTTATAGGGAATATATAGTATTCTAAGTCCTATATGTGGTTATGTGACCTGTAGATGTTACGGTAAGGTAGCTGCCAAAGTTCCTCTGGCAGATTTAGTAAGCAAATGTCTCCACTAGTGGAATAGGATCATTTTTCATACCACATTTCTTTCCCCTTTGGGGCCTACTCAAACCTCACGTTGTCTCTAAATTATTAAATTAGGTCTTCCTTGATCATCCAAAGGTCATGGTGCCTAATGTGTGTTAATGTGATGAAAGTGTCAGATACAATTAGTTTCAGTAGTAAAACATGGTTTTATCGTCCTAAATGCAATAAATTAAAGTATGTTGTAGACTGCTGTAGTCAGGGAAATTTCTGCACCATTAAGGTTTGACGGGGAAGTTCATGTCCTCTCCAGGCAACAGTGAGGAGYGCTAGGTGGAAGTTGGTATGGTTTGCTTCACCTCCATGATTGCTTTTACTCCTTTCATTTCTGAAAGGTTATTTATCAAATGGACATGTAATCAGAAAATTCTACTTTCTCTTGCATGCAGAAAGCCAGGCAGTGCATTTTCATGCTGCTTGTCTATTCTCTTTGTTGGTCTCCTTCCACTGAGAAAATTCTGAGGCACATTTTATGCATCAAAACATCTTTAATCTTGATACGGAGTAGGGTGCGTGCTGTCACAGGCAGATCTGTTTGCAAGGCCTGCTGCTGAAGTTTCAAACTTCTACCAGGAAAAATCAGCTATAAATAGCTGTGGCTGATAGAAGTGGATAACACAAGAGGAAGTAATAAAACTGACTCGATTGCCATGTTCTCTAATCTGTCTAATAGAGTGAGATTCTGCAATTAGCAGTTACTGTATCTGTTTCCTGTCTGTAAGGAGAAAAAAACCTCAGTAGGAGATAAGCAGAAGGAGAGAGTTGGCTCAATTTTAATCGAAGCTTCCAGTAGCTTTGCTGCTGAAAGACACAAAAGACATTGCCCAGCTGTGATAGATGTCATTCATAAACTGAATACCCATCTGCACAAGGCAATTTGCATTTCACGGAGCATTTTGAATTGCTGCAAACTCGGGCAATGTATACAAAAACAAGTACTTCCAGTAGCAAGAAACRAAACAATATTCTGTTTCACCTATGACAAATGATCCTTTGGGGAAGGATATTGCCCTCATAAGTGGCAATTCAGTGTTTTTAATAGTCTTGTATTATTCATTGGGAATCATCTTTCATGCATTGTGGCTTCAAAATGGAAAAAGAAGCAGTGTCTCTATCTCATCTCTTTTCTAAAAAGAAGGAAGGAACTGTGCTAAATCAGTTTGTGTTCAAGAGAAATTTATCAGTTTGTCTCTCTGACTTCCTCTTACAAAAGAGTCCCCTTTGACTGGATGTATGCCAGAATGAAAACCTTGAATCCAACTTTTGTCCCATCTGATGGACTTGGTAGGAATCAGCAAGCAAAGTTCTCAAGAGGTTCAGTGGCTCTTAGTTTAGTATCATGTCGCTCCTGAGGGAGTTTTGCTAAAATTTATTGGTGGCGCAAATGTTGGGAAGCACATTAAAAATACTGTGGCAGATAAAGGTGTCTAAGAAAGAGAGAGAGGAATAGGCAGAAATGGGAAGGGTGAGATGGACACAGAGTAAATGCCATTGCAGTCCCTTKGGGAGCAGGTAATCAAATGTATAAATATAAGCTTAGGGAGTGCTGATTAAGAGATGGAAGTGAAGAAATGGCACARGTAAAGAAATACTTTGAGAGGAAACATCAAATTGAACTTGACTGTGAAATTCATTGCTGCCATAAAATCCRATGCTCTGGTATATAAATAGAAGAACTTAATGTAGAAGAGCTGTTCCACAGTGGTTAAGCTGCACCTGGAAAACACGTGCTTTGTTCTCTACACTTTTAAAAATCATACAATCGGCTGCTGTTGCACGATAGAAAATAAAACCTGAAAGATGCAATCAAAGCAAAAAAGCCCTTTTCCTCAGATGTGTGTAGACACTACCTGGCACATGGGCACCATACAAACTAACTTGAAAACAAGAGCTTTAAAGTCAATCAGTAGTTTAGGATYATGCAATTTAGGAAAAAAAGTGGTTTTTTCTTTTTTTTATATATATATTTAAAAAAAGGAAGCCCAGAAACAGTAGAGAAAGCTAATGCTTCGGGTTGCTTGAAGCTTTTAGAATATTTAGCTCTAATTTGTTCTTTTAGCCAYGATAAAAAAGAGGTCTGAATATAGACCTAAGCAAAAGTCATGCTATGCTGGTGTTATCTCCTACAAAAATGTTAACCAAACCTCTCAGAGGATGTCAGTAACAGTTTTGTGGTAGCAAATCTTGTATAAATTCAGAATTACCAATTTTTGAACAAAATCAGGATATGCATGATCTTTATTTTCAAGGCATCTCAACCTAGGTACATAATATTTCCTGTGAAAGATATTGACCCTTTATTTTTAAATGACAAATACAGAATGCACATACTTGCAGGATATTTACATTCTAACCATGTAGTAACTCACAGACAGGGTTTTTTGTGGGGCTGGGAAATTTTTGTTGTTTGGTGAAGGGCAGTGTTAAATACAGGCAAATATGGAATGTTCCTTTCTTAATTTTTTTGTAATATTGATACTCTATTTGTTTTAAAAAATAACTGGGGAGGCATGTGCAAATCATAGTAAAGTCCTTAATCTACCAAAGTGTTTCATCAAATGAAGACCTCATGGGTTTTAGTATGATAATTCATGGATTTAAAGTTAAATATATGCAAAAGTGATCTGCAGAATCAAGACCATATTAAAGATCTTATCTGAGCCAATCTGATGTTAAGTGATTTCATCTCTGTACTATCATTTTCATTTGATGCGCTTTAAGGTCTTGCATTTAAAACTGTGAATGACCTAGTAAGGAAGGAAATACTGACTCCTGAGTAKATATCATATTAGGACAGTGAAGTTGCCCAGAGAAATGATCTCCTTCCCAAAGAAAAGACCAAATGTGGAAAAATTGTTCTTTATTTTTAAGGCTTCATGAAATAACCGCTGCTTTGTTCTTTCCTCCCAAATTATTTCCCACAGAAGATGCATATTAAGTAAAAAACTTGAACAGTTAACTGCTTTCTAGAAGGGCTGTCGAAGAACTTTCCTGAGCAAAATTATTTCCCATGTAATAATAATATTTTGTATAGAAATGATGAATGCAGTCAATTATATAGGACTGACAACCATTTCAAAACTGTAGGTTCTTATCTATTTAGTGTTTTGCACAAGTTTACATGTGCAAGATGAAATCTYAGTCCAGTTGAATCACATTGTAAAACTCCCCAAGTGAATCAATTTGCTTTTCAAAAGGAAATTATTTTTTTATGCCTCATCTCTGCATTTTGCTTTGTTACTTTCTCAGAAGATAGAAGTTTGTTAAATTTGTTTGTGGTATTTTGGGCCTTCAGTAGAGGTTTCCTTTGGGTTCTTAGGAAAGGAAATGAAGAAGTAAGCCTACTGTCCGTAAGCACCAAGGTGACTATGTAGAAGTCCAGCTTAATTGGAATATGTTAAGGAATGTGTCTATGAAAAGAAGTTGACATTTATTTGTCTGAAATCTTCACCTTGCAGCTTCTTACCAAATGGAGTCCTTCAGCTGTTTCAGTTCAAAGTGAACTACAAAGGAAAATCTCTGTCTCGTGGTGCTTTTGCAGCCAAAAGGAACCTTTCCTAGTAGAAGATTATGTCATCTTAACAGGACTGTGCATTTCCAAACAAGGGCTGCAGGCTGGCCCTGGAGTACTCAAAACTTGGCTACATTTGGTACCAAACTCTAAAAAAGCTTTCTAGGATTTGTGCCCAGATGTCCTGGAAGATGGTCCAGTGTCTGTTTTGCTATCCAAAATTCATCTTTTTGTTATGAAAGTTGAGTTCAAACAACCTTGCAGGTCTGGAGTTCATTAGATAAGGTTTGTTGTCTTGCTGTCTGTGTCCAAATATGATATTATTTCTGGTGCTGGGTATCTTTAAACCTTACCACTTTTTCATGTTGTACRGCATAAGAAGTTATCCATTTGCAGCCTTCTCATTTTCCCCACTACAGTCTGCACTGCAGAAACACAGTAATGTTCTTTTTGCTTCTTATAAGGAATTGGGACTGCAGAAGGGAACTTAAAACTGTAAGAGAAAAGCAAAGTGGAGGTTTGGATGAGGCACAGCAAGGATTTTTTGTAAGTCTTCTCTTAGTCGGAGTGTTTTGGCACTCTTGACTCTTGGACTGCGTATGTCCCCGTTCAGCAGAAGGAATTGTTCAAGCAATCTGTGCAAAGACTTGTCAAAGTCTAAATTAAAATGCAGCGCTCTCCTACAGTTTTTGTCCTTGTTTTTTACAACGTATTTTCAGCTATTAAACAAAAAAAAAACCACAAAGGGCATTTATTTCAGTGATAATTAGGGCTATTGATTATTCATCTGATTTTATTTCTTTTCATCTAGTAAATGAGCATTTTAKATCATTTGCCTCTCAAGAAAGAAAGGAGCTGATGATAAAATGACTTCCAAAAAAGACAGTCCCTCTAGCATAATTGTTTTATGAGACAATACAAGTGTACTTCTCTCTTTAATTGATTGTGTTTATGATCATGTTTTGCTATGTGTCTGTTACTCTCACAGAATGATACAAGACTCTTTGTCTCATGGCTCCCAGCCACATTTCATTTTATTATAATCACCTTCATTATAAGAAAACTGCTTAATTATAATGAAAATGCTTTGAAGCTGAGAACGGTGCTGTAATGAGCTGAAATGTATATGTGGTATTTTTCCCAAATGACACAGGAAAGATGATGTACAAGGCAGCGTAGGAACATACATAGTGCCCTATTCCAAGAGTTCACTCACTTGAGGGAGCAGTGTTGTCTAGTGCTCAGATCTCATCAATAAAAACTCTCTTTGCTGCAGCTAACTAACCATGTGACCTTAGGGAATAGCCTTATCCCTTTCACACGTTTCTCTTTGATAAAATAAGAATGATGTGACTGCAGAGAGGCACAGTGAGGCTTAAATCCTAATTTCTCAAAGTAGTTGGAGATCTGCTCAAGGAAGAGTATGTGTAAAGGTAATTATTTCATTATTTTAATCTTTTGAAGTACAAGACGGTGTCTAGATCCTGAGAGCTGGTACACACACAGGTGTGGTACCATGACACGCACAGTTTCCTAAAGAGCAATAATCTTTAAGTGGTGACTGTGTAGTGCTAAGGGAGTTGGGCAGGATTTAGGGTGGCAGATGTACCGGTAGCTGTCACAGAGGTGTCAACATCAAGTCCTGACTCTGTGGAGAAATCTGCAGCACCCTCAGTGAGCCTTAGGAATGGATTTAGCAGGGTGATACACTCTGACCACCTGTTTTCTTTTATTGTTTTTGTTTTTGCAATTGATTTTTGTGCATTTTGCATGTAAGTGTATGCACACATGTCTTTTAATATACAGGCATTGGTGTTTTACTCTTTGGTGAACCTTCAATTATATTTGAGCCTGAAAAATAATTATTTGAAAGCAATCTAGCTTTGTTGTTGCTGGGGTGAGAGGAGAGGAAAGAAGGAAGGTGAGTGCTAACAACTGTTCTTAGGAAATACTTGTGAGATGTCACGAAGACGACCTCTAGAAAAATCCTCAGGTAAGCTTCGCCAGGAGTGTTTTGCTGCTTTGGARGCTTCGACCTTTTAGTACCCTGGCCTCAGAAAGCGACCGCCATAGCCAATTCTGACAGATGGCGTCACGGCCGCGGGCGGGCCGGGCGCCACCGTGGCCTTGCACCCTCGCTCCCGCTCGGAGCGCGCGCCTCGCGGGTGGATCGTGGGGCGCTCGCGGAAGGAGCCGGGCGCCTGTCGCAAGCCGTGCTAGCAGCTCGCCCGTGGCTTTTGAGGCTTGTCGCCTGCGAATGTGTCACCCTGGTAACCGTTTGCACCTGCAAGCGGGAGTCATACGAGCTGAGAATTGCAGGGTGATTTTTTTTTTTTTTTTTTTTTTGTAATCTTTTCTGAGCGTTAGAAATTGTTCATAGACAAAGCAATGCAGACTAGAGAAGAGCTTTATTTTGATATTCCTGTTGTTTAGTGGGCATAAACAGAGCACCTCTTCTGTTTGCCAGTGTCCCACTGCAGTGTCCATCTTCACCAGCAGAAATTTTATCTRTTTTATTTGGTGATTGTTGTATCTATACTTGTTATATAAAAAAAGACATAACATGCCAGTAACTACAGCATTTCATTTTRGGGTTGTCAGTCGGTTGCTTAAAATACAGAAAGACCGACCTTTTTTGTAGCTTAAGAAATGCACTTGTCAAAAGAAAAGTATATTTTAAAATTATGAGACAGCCAGTAAGGGAACTCTGCTGCTAAGCTGCCATTTTATTCTGYAGGTATCTTTCTAATGAGAAGAATGTTTGTCTTCCTTCAAAATCCATTTGATTTGAGGAAGAAGTGCTTGTTATAAATGGAAGAGTTTCAGTGGCTGTAAGCAGAACTGACAACACCAGCTGAAGATCTTCAAAGTTTTACCAATGAGATACTGCTGTTTGGTAGCACCTTTCCTCCCTGTATCTCACAGTGATTTGCAAAGATTAATTAAGGCTCATAGCACCCCTCTGATGTACATAAGCATCATTAGCCCTAGAGATGTGCAAAATATTCATGACAAAATTGGTGGCATTCAAAGTTTACCCCTCTTACAAAGCGCAAGGGTTAAGGAAATGCAAAGTTATTTGACATTATCTGCATCAGAATTGTTTTGTCATTCTCTCCTTCTCTACAGGTATATTAATAACCATAATGCTGTACATAGATTTCTCATAATTATTCCAATTTTCAGCAAGATTGATTTGGCTTGTTCCACATAGTCGTTGCATTGTAATTCTTCATATTTCCCAATTAGCTAAATCTGATCATTTGTTCACTATAAAGAAGGACATCAAGCAAGACCCTCCCCGTCTATTGAAGAAAAGTGCAATTTTAGATGGAATTTAAGCAAGCCGTGATTTACTGTGAGACTGCTATAATGAAAGACAGCTGTAAAGCTTGAAAATGTTCTGCTGTTTGATCTTGCTGTAGCTAGAAAGAAATAATTCCCCCTTCGTGCGACTGTGGGTATGTTGCTGTTAGTAAAACAGGGCAGTATTGCGCTTTTGAATAGCAAACTTGAATTCGTGTCATAGAGAGGTCTTGTAGCTCATGAACTGGGCTTCTTTGGGTTGAAACTTATATAGAAGACGTACCCCACCTAGAAGTGGGCTATCAGTCACTAGCTACAGAGCTGTTTCCAAGCAAAAAAATCAGTGAAATCTATATGGTGTGGACCTTAGCAGCAGCTGTTTCATTCTGCAGATCTCACCTCTCCTCTCCCCATTCCAGGATTCCTGAACACATCTTTAGAGGTTTTATAGTTGCAGTCTCTGATTTTCCAGTTTATGCAGAGGACCTGCATCCTCATGCTGCTGCACACAGCACAGAGGCGAAGGGGAAGTCTCAGGGATTTGTGCTACTCTATTTCTTTTTTGCACTCTGATTTTTTTTTTTTTTTTTTCTTTTTGTTATGTGCATTTCAGCTTCCTTAGTCTGTTTTGTTTGCTCTTTATGTTGCTCCTCTTGTTTGGTTTATTTTTGGTTTTCTTAAAATTGGCTTGCATGTTATTGTGCAGCTCTAAAATATTTCTTATTTGACTTTGGCAGGTGTATCCTYACTCCAGTTAGACCATGCATATTTTACAGGCTGTTAATGCTCTCCAATTTGAAATAGCTTCAGTATAATTGAGGAAGCAGCAGGAACCGTTTTTGGAACATTAGAATGTCCACACTGCCCACTGAACTGGGACCTAGCAAAGTACATAGCAAGGGGGACCACAATAAAATTAATGTAAATTAAACATTGCATCCGTCATAATGCATGTGTCCAGTATTTTTATCAGTACAGAAATGAACTTTCAGAGCATCATCTTCAACCTACATTTTTCGAGACTGGTTGGAAACTGAGCCCTGCGGAATTATCAAGTACTGTATGAATTACAGGTAAATGCTCCCCAGAGTTCCAATGAATATGCACATATAATGTTGTTTATTTTCTTAATTGTTGGGCTTAGTCCATGCTGTACTACTTAGCTTTGTAAAGCAGCTAGAGAATCAGTCAAGTTGCAGCCCACACAAAAAACACTTGCCTCCAGCATCACAGATGTTGTGCGAAAGCTGCCTCTCATGTTTCTAAATCTGCTTCCTCCAGTTAGTAGAGTTATCTTCTGTCCAAACCCTAAATATTTTTCAGTCCTCCCTGACATGTGAACTTGCAAATCAGAAACAAGGAACCTCCACCTCTAGTGGAGGTCCCATGTCTCATAAAGAAAGGCAACGAAGCTACCGTGATGCTGATTAAAATTATTTCTGCCTTAAAGTCTTTCAGGAAAGACTGACAGAAGAAACTCATCTTTCTGCGCTCTGGAGAATCTAGAGCTGCCACATGCATTCCTCAAAAGTAGGATGGTTTTGGTAATGTTGCAATAAACAGCATAGATAGTGGGAAAAAGGTACATGTAGCAGAAACTTATAAAATTCAGTGTGTATGAGAAGCTGTCATGCAGAGATATCATCCTTTCAGTTTGAACGTAGGCACACATAGCAACACCTATGTCTGCAAAAAATGTGCATGGTATACTTTTAGTACTTTATTTTTCAGTAGACTGTAAGGAGAATAAATTTTGCAGCATGAGAGTTTTCACTAAGTCCTTTTTCCCTTTGCTTTACCATGTCTCTGAACTGTGTGGGCCAAAAAAGAGGGTAAAGTTCCATTAAGAATTTCAAGCGTGCATTTTAAGCCGTTTAAGTCACTGCAGATTTGATATTAAAGCCCATGTAGACATCAGTAGSTGGAGAACAATCAATGTCTTGGACATTCTGTGTCATGACACAATTACTGGCAAGTCCTAATAAATTCAGCTTGTCAGTGCATATGGAAAGGATATATATATATATTTTAATAAAGTTTCTGAAAGACTATTCATTCACCTTAATGCAAGCACTGCTTAGGCTCAATGGTGAGTGGTGACCTCCTGATCTCAGCGTCAGCAGAACATACAATTTAAGGCTGCTATAGCCAACTGTTAATGGCATTTGGCAATTGTAACATCAGGGATGCTGAATTCCAGTCTTTCTCATTCCAAGTTATGATGGCTTGGTCAGTTGTTTACTCCTGAGCTATTTTGGGCGGTGATCTTGATAATTTTTTGTGCAAGTGGTACCTTCAAACTAATTGTTAA